GATAATTCATAATAGCCTGCTTAAACGCATGCATGCACATACATATTCACACACTAGAAAGATGCAAGTGCATATTCAGCACCATACAACTCTCAATCAAATCCAACTGCATGCCTGCGTGTTCTTAAGTAGAGACATACTTTTCTGACCAGGCTTGCGCAAACACTTTAAATACAGCTCAAGTGCACGGATATAAAATATTCACGCACTCACGCACACGAATACACACACATACGCATACACACAACGTGCACGCACTCACACACTAACACATTTACGTACACGCATAGGTTTATTGGGGTAGGTTGGATGACGATACGCATAATAGAAAATGGTTTTAATGTTTGCTTCATAATTCCCATCTACATGTTTCAGTTTGTTTATACGTTCGTTTATTTTCAAGCAGTTTTTATGTATGTGTATGTGTATGAGTGTGTGTGTTTGTGTCTGTATGTATTTTTATGTGTCTGTATACACCCTTAGTGTTTTGGTTGTCAGACTAATATATACTGTCTGGATATATTTCCTTCGATTGTTTAATTTGTTGTTACTCATCCAGGCGTAGTTTCAAGAGTGAGCATACTTTTTCATGCTTCATGTTTCAAAAGTGACAGCTGACATAGACAAAAACATAACAATAATATTTTAATTAAAATATTAAACATTTAAAACAAACATTTTAACGTAAACTCAGGTAAAAGTGTTGACAGCATACAGGGCATTAAAATCAACCTAGAGAAAAACAACAAAGCCAAAAAGGAAAAACAAATTAGCACAAAAAGAAATAAAGTCAAAGCATAAACATGAAAACACAAACATAAAATCAAAACATGAACGCAACAAATACAAAAACACGCGACAAAAATAAAAAGTTTCGACCACGTCATGTAGAAAGTAGTTTGTTGCTTGAAAAACTCGTTGGCGCACAAAAGCAATGATGTGAAATTGTTTGTTTGGCGGGTTTACAATGCAAACGATGGTGATGATGTTGGTGATCGCTATTTTAAAAATACTTCTTAACTCGGTCGGTCGGCAAGTTAGCTCAGTCGGTACAAGTGCCATATCTCAGACAGTTACGTATTGACCTGGTTCAAATACTATCTGTCGAAACTCAAAAACTATCATACGTAACGCACGTAAAATGCGGTGGTATGCGTCGTGTTTGGTGTGTGTGGTGTAGCTAGTACAGAATTTGTGGCACAGTGTAGAAATGTAAGCAGTTTTGTGTGTGTTAGAGCTGCATAAGTAAACAACTGTGACAATGATGGTGATGAAAATGACGAAGAAACATCAATGCAACTTACTATCGTTTGCAATACACTACAGTTTTCACAGTAAATAAAAAAATTAGAAAAATACATACAAAATTTCAAGAAAGTAGAAGGGGAAAAGGCCCTGGCAAGGGAAAAAGTCCCAGCCACATTTACTGGAAGGGTCATCCATTACAAAGACATGGGATGCGCGGAGAGGTGTGTTAACATGGGATTTCAATGTATAACATTCCCAGATAACGTTGAAAGGATTATTTATGTTCAGGCTGTTTTTGTTTGTCACGATGGCTGGTGATAGTGATGAAAATGTTGATGAGGATGGCGATGATGGTGAATATGTTGATGGTGTTAAAAATGACGATAAATGATGATGATAATGATAAATCTAATGATGATGATGGTTATAATTAAGCTGATTATGGTTAAAATAAAGCTGGTGACAATTAGGAGAGTGAAGAAGATGAAGATAGTGATGAAGATGATAATTCCAACAACGATAATAAATAGAATGATGACGATAATAATGATGATTAAAACTATGAAGACGGTTATTTTTCACAAAAAGTGATGATGGTAATGTTGTTGGCATTGTATATAATAAATTATATATATATATATATATATATATAAACAACAACATCAACAACGCCATCATCATTCATCACAACAATATAACATCAACCAACGTCGGCAATTAAATAATGAAAGTAATAAATTTAAAGATAAAACATGTCAGCATTCATGTCAGCGCGATGTTTACGATGACGTTGAAGATGACGTAAGCATGCTGGGGTGCTGCTGATGATGATGTTAAAGATGATGATGTTAATACAACACAAAAAAACATGTTAGAGTTAATAATAATAATTTTTGTCAAAATATATTAATTAAAGGATTATAAAGAAAAATGCTTTTTTTCACAATAGAGTTTATTTAGTAAAATAAAAATAATAAGTCAAATGACATCATGACACGTTCATTAAACTTTTAATTTTGACAAATACGAGTGGAAAAATTTCTCAAGGTCATTAGTTTCGTTTGGACGGACTTAATAAGCGGCATCAGTTGGAATAAAAAAATTTAGAAAATGATAACAGACGAGATGATCTTATGTCTATTTGATTTTTTTTGCATTTTTGCGTTTTTATCTTTCTGCGTGTATGTACGCCTCTCTCAAACACACTCGCACAGGAGTTCTCTTTCTTAATTCATCTTTATCTCTCTCTCTTTTACTCTCACTCCTTTTTTTTCCTTCTCACTCGTTTTTTCTCTTTTTTCTTGACTTGTGTCAGTGGTGTATGTCACAGAGAATTATTTCTTCTTCGATGGTTTATCTGGAGACGATTCATTTTCATAGATGTATCAATAGCTTGGGTAACAACACCGCATCCATTTCTTATAATTTACATACAGTCATATGTAGCATAGGAATGTTATTGTAAATAAATTCACTACCATGTAAATATATAGTTAATGTACAATCAATTATAATATGCATGCTCATATACACGCATTCACATAGAGAAAGAGAGACAGAGAAGGAGAAAGAGACATACACACATCACACTAAATCTACAGAATATATACACAAGTGCAATACAGCTGACACTAAAGCTGTTTCTGTGCGCCTGCCCATGCAATGCAACGTACGTGGACTCTCAAAAGATCGCTTCATAATCTTCCTCCTGCCATCAATAAAGATATCGTTATCTTAATTCGGGTTATCCGGGTTCGAAAACACATGAACTCTAATAAAAACTATTGTGTGGTCCCAAAATTATACGTTAACTTTGTTACATATATGTTGAAAATTAGATTTATTTTGAAAGCGTATGTACTACAAATGCACATATATACGCAAACGCATAAATATATACACATACAAAGATGCACGAACACACACATACACATACATACATATATACACATTCATACACGCACATATGTACAGAATATTTGTGCACGCTCATCCCAGCAGTCAACGATTCTGTTATCTTTTAAATGGAACCCATCTTTGATGACATTTTTCGATTATATACATACATACCGACACATACACACACACACACACACACACACACACACACACACACACACAGACACTCACACTCACAGAAACACACACAGACACACACACACAGACGCACACATTAATGATGGTGATGAAGAGGACGAGATGATGACGAAGATAGTAAAATAATGATGAGGAAGATGACAAAGAAGATGATGATGGAGATAACGTCATCGAAGGCTGAAATGATAAGAAGGGAGATGAAGATGATGATGAAAAAGGAAGAAAATGATGATGATCGGGCCAACTTCCATTTATTACAATTTCAACCAATTAAGATTATATACAACTTCCGAAGGGTTAATTAAGGTGAGTGATGTCGAGATTTAACCACTAAGTTTTTACTGTTTACTTATGTGCGTTTGAGTGTGTGTACATGTGTGTGCATGTGTACGTGGGTGTGTGTGTATATATGCATAAGTGTATGCTTGCTTATGTGAGTGTTTCAATGTGTACGTGCGTACATGCAGGGCTAAATTTAGAGGTGTGTGTGTGGCAATAAGAAAGGGGCGACCGACTGGCAAAATTATTTATTAACTAATTTACTAACTAACTAATTAATTAACTAACTAACGGCCTAGCGTTAATGCTGTATAATGCAGTTCTTTTTTTCTATGAAAAAACTTCTTCTTGTTATGTTAAAAAGCTACAGGCCTTTTGAAACATCCGTCAGTCACCTTCCCTACAAACATTCTCGCTTCAGTTTCTTCATCCAACTTCCATGCTGCATCTAGTTTGCTTAACGGAACTGCTATCTTAACACTTGAGTACATGTCCATATATTTTGTTTGGTGATATATTGATGAATGAATAAATGAAAGGATTAATTAATTAATTATGATGTAATGTAGTATACGTTCGTCCGTTTTGCTGGGCTGTATTCCAATACATTGTTGTTTATTAGGACATAAATATTGAAATTTTCTTCCTTTATGTAGCGCATGATATGTAACGTTGAATGTGTGAAAAATATAATTAAATGAATTATTGCGTGTGTGTGTGTGTGTTGGTGTGTGCGTATGTGCGCGTGTGTGTGTGGCGTGGTGGTATGTTAGGTTTTTCTGCTTGTACTCTTACGTACATCTGCTGTTGGTGCTGGCACTGGTAATTGGACTTGCAAGTGCAACGACGAAGATGTTCCATCAGTGTTAGTGCTGTTTTTTTAAAGATTATAAATGCTATCAAATGAAAACAACGACAACTGGGCAGGGGAGTGACACGCGAAGAACAGCAGAAACGAATTAAATGTAAAAACGCCAAGAACATAAATTTATACATCATTAACGTTTATTTGTAGAGTATATTTTTTTAGAATTTAACAACAACAACACAACAAAAACACAAAAATAACAACACTACAAGAACAACAACAAAGCATCAAACAACAAAACAAAAACACAACAAAACGCATCAAACAACACAACAACAACAACAACTACTACTACTACACATCAAACAACAACACACTAAACAACACAAAGTAACAAAGCTTGGAAGAATGGAACAAGTGAAGGAAATATCTCGAATGCAAAATTTTTCAATTTTATTTTCCACGGGATGAGTACGTGGATGCTTATGTTGAAATATAGATATGCTGGTAGACATGCGATCAAATTTTTGATATGATAGAGATGCATTTTTAGTGAAATTATTAAAAATTAAGCTTGGAAGAATGGAACAAGTGAAGGAAATATCTCGAATGCAAAATTTTTCAATTTTATTTTCCACGGGATGAGTACGTGGATGCTTATGTTGAAATATAGATATGCTGGTAGACATGCGATCAAATTTTTGATATGATAGAGATGCATTTTTAGTGAAATTATTAAAAATTAATGGACTCTAAACAAAAACAACTTGAAACTTTGAAAAACGAGTCGTAAATCGATAGCACATGGAATTAACTTAAAATGAATTGACATGAAAAAAAAACCTAAATTTATTCAAATGAAAAACTATTTTGTATGATCCAGTAAACAAACAGACAAACGAACAAACACATATTCATATATACATACAATACCAAAAACAAACAAACAAACAAAGAATAGAACAAATAAACAATTAAAAACAAAACATACAACATTCTATGAGATGCGCAAACAAAAGATTATATAATAAATTAAACCGAAAAAACACACAGAAAATACAAACATACAAACTGATGAGCAAAATTGAACAAAGAAAAAAACAAACTAGCAAACAAACAAACAAGAAAGCAAACAAATAAACAAGCAAACATGCAAACAAACAAAAACAAACAAAAAGTAACTAACCCAGTGGGAAGATGTTAAATTCATCGGACGCCACTCTTTCATTCCTCACGTTCACTGTTGTTGACACTGGATGAAATAAAAATAATAACAATAAAAATAACAATAAATATAATAATAATAACAATAATTATTATTATTATTTCTTGATGTATTAATATGAATGAGAAGGCAAAATGTTATGAAGTGCGTTTTCAATTGGACTGACACAACTATAAACATTGTATACATAGACGCATATAAACAGCATTAAAAAGATCTAGACACAGTAAATGTAAATATGAAATTAAACAACAAGCAAGAATAGCAATTTTATTAAACAACAAAAATAAATCGGAAAAGCAACAACAAACAAGTATGACGTCATTATTTCTGTACCCTCGGTGCACGTCAATGAATCAAAACATCCGGTTTCATCGATCAAAGATTATAAATCGTTTCCACGCACCATTTCAATGTCATTTTATAAGCGCTTCCGGCATTCGTCCATTTTTCAATAAGGCAGCCCCGCTTCAGTATTTATGGTCTTTGGTTTTGCGCGCGAACTTTGAGCGTTATAAATGTAGGCTTGGTCGTTTGTGAGGTGCGATGATTGAAGTTTTATAATTGGTTGTCACGAAGTACGTGCGTGTGTATGTGTGTGTGTGTGTATGTATGTGCGTGTGTCTGTGAGTGTATATGAGTATGTGTGCTTCTGTGTATTTTGCTGGCTAGCGTTTGTTCTGTGTTTATTAAAATTTTGTTATGGTTGTTAGTAATATTATTATTATTTTGTGTTATAATTGCATTGTTTCAGCTGTCGTTGTTATTCATATTAGTGTTTTTATTTTTATTGTTATTATTATCATTTAGTATCTTTATACAATTTTTCAAACGATCAACATATTTTAAATTAAAATTTTCTTTTTTATATGAAGAACAAAATTTTCAATGAAAAAATTGCACCGGGTGAACAATTCATTCAATCTTGAAAAAGTAAAAATATCAAAAAAATATAAAAAAAATAAAATAATATGAAAAAAAAATCAGAATAAAATGCACGCAAGCAGGAAGAGAAGCGAAGTGTGACAAGCAGAATGATTTGAAGATTTCTTAGATGGGGATTTATTTTAAACTTTATTTTCAAAAGAATTTAAAACAAAATTATTGTGAATTTTTGTGTATTTTTATTTTTTATTGAATATTGTTTCATGTTTTCATGTTTGTTTTCATGTTTTTTTTTTTGTGTATTTTTATGTCAAAACATTTTTTGTTTGTTGAAGTTTTTATTTATTTAGAGAATTTTTTTTCTAGTAAGGATATGAAAAAAATTGAATGCGTTCTTCTGCTGGCTGTGAATCCATTTTTTAAGATTCGTCGTTTTATAAGGACGTTTGAAATTTTTTGTTATTTTGGGAGATGAAAAAATTTTTATTTTACATAAAAATATTTTTTTCAAGACTACCATCCCCATCGTTGTGCTTACTTTCATCCTTTATCTATTCCTCATGTTTCAACCATCGAACTTCATTCAATTATTCTTTTCTACGCTATCTTCCACCTCTTACCTTAAACGTTTTTTGCATTTTATTGTCACAAAAATTTTAATCATCATTAATTTCACAAATAATTTTTTGCTTGATGTGTGGTTTAGAGAAACATAGAGATGCTTTGATACCTACCTATCTGCTGCTGACAAATTTAAACGTTTCTGCTATAGAAGCTGAAACAACCACTACAAACCACCTACAACTACATCTGCATGCAACATTCACGCCACAAAAACTAACATACATATTTTTGTATGATACCCACACCACACTATGGATTGAATCCAAACTATTCCGCATGCGATACTAACTTTTTACTTTTTGAGCGAACTAGGCAATTGTATCTATTCATCTATCAACTATCACACCACGCTAAAACATTCTCGCAATCATTGCAGTCACCATCGTCAACAATTTTCATTTCCACTTTCTCAGGTCATTCCATCTACCGACCAATGTCATTCAATCAATCATTCAATCAATTAATCAATCAATAAATCAAGTATATTTAAACAGCCTATATTTCTACATTTCAATGGCGCTTTGGTCGAATTAGCAAAAATTTAAGTGTTTCCAACTAATTAAATATTTAGGAAGTTATAAACAATAAAAGTGCAAATGAAGTGGGAAAATATCACGAAAATATCCCATGCACTTCGCCATCTTACCTGCGGTAGAACAGTTTCCAGGCCTTCCAACCCAGGTGTGATCAACGCAGACGAAATGGAAAAACTCCTTGGAGTGTTGGCACCTGACGACCAGTCTGTTCTCCTCTTGCAACTCAATCCTCGAATGCTCCGGCGCTGTCATGCTCTCACAACCCAACACTGAAATGAATTGTTTGGATAATGCTGTGTGTGTGTGTGTGTGTGTGTGTTGTGTGTGTTTTATGTGTGTGTGTGTTTGTGAGCGTGTCTGCGTTCGCGTGTGATTGGTTTGTGTTATGAAAAAAGGTAATTTAATTGTTTAGACCTGAACGTAATTAGTTTTTTTTAGTAAATTAAAAGTTTTTTTCACTGAAATCATTGTATAATTTTTCATTTTCTTTTGTAAATGAAAATTTTACTGTTAGAAACAAAAAATAACTTTCAATAAAATTTTATCAATCATCAATAAAACATCAATAATTTCAACAACAGCATACACTCAATATTAACACCAACAGCATTACTAAAAAACAACAACAGACGGCAACAACAACGACAACAACAACAGGCTTCATGGGTTGCCCCGTCCAACGAAGCGAAAAATTAAGACCAATGATGCGAAGAATTCAAAACTCGCGACAATATGCGCGGAATATCGCTCAAATTTGGTTTTTGAATTTTATTTTCTATTATTTTGTTTTGTTGTCTATGGTTTTGTTTTGTTGCCTATTGTTTTGTTTTGCTATTTTTGTTTTTGTTCCATTTTTCTGTAGGTTTTGACGTAGTTGGTTGATAAATTGAATTGTCGGTGCTTTTGTTCGATTGGTTAGAATAAGTCAATAGTACTGGTGGCCGGTGCAATGCCGACGGCAGATGCAAAAACAACTGCAGCAGTTAAAACAAAAAAAATTAAAACGACAAGGTTGATTGATTGACATTTACTGCAATTTGAACAAGTTAATGTCATCAACGATTGCCAGCAACCACGATGTAGCAACATGATAGTAAATTGTTTTCAAATTATAAAAAATGCACAACAACTACTTGTCACATGAAAATTATCACATCAACAACATTAAATCGCGCAACAACAAAAGTAACACAACAACAAAAACGACGACGACGAAAAACGAAAATAACTTCCTTTATGGCAACAGACGCAATAACAGCGAGCGCGTACAACAGCACAGCACAGAGTTGCATCATAAAGAACAAAATAAAAACGAGAAACCAACAATAACTCAGCACCTCAACAACTCTCCGTGCATGTTCATATTAACGTATTGGTCGAATGAACATAAACACACATGTAAACATAGACATGAAAATAAATATGGACATAAACACAAAGATACAAATATTTATTAATATAATGAAACAAACAAAAACAACAAAAAATTCAACAATTAAAACAACAACAAACAACAACAACAAACAACAACAACAGCAACAACAACCGTTGAAATAATTTTCTCTCGAAACAAACAACTCATGCGACACAAAAAGCGAAAGAACCTAATAAAAGCCCATGACTTATCGCGTCGCCACAGACACACCTTTTGCATAATCACACACACACACACACACACACACACACACACACACACACACACACACACACACACACACACACACACACACACACGCACACACACACACACAAACAAACACATAAAAACACACACACTTACAAATACATACACACGCATATACGCCTTCACGTCCATATTTACTAGATTTACTAGCTTACGTTCTGATGTTCAGGGCAATTTAAAAATTAAAATATGTTAAATAAAGTTACTAAATTTAATTGCACTTGTTCAAATAAATTGTGTTATACCTCACGAAATGATAAAAAATATATTGGTGACAATCACGCACTATTGGTACACACAAACTTTACACGTGCACATATTTATTTCAATGGATTTATTCAAACAAACAAATGTATTTAAAAATCCTTCTTAACAAATAAATGAAGCTGGATGAAACGTTCACTCAAACGAAGAAGGCTGCTTTAAAAATACTTATTCGCGGTCGACAAGTTAGCTTAGTTGGCAACGAATTAGCTCATACGCGCCACGTCATCGTTGTTGTTGCACCAGGACCGAGTTCGAATTCGGTCTGCGCAAAAGTAGAAAACCATTTTATTTTTCGTGCGTAGAGTGCGGTGTTTGCACGTGCATGTGAGATGCGTACGTGTGACTGTGCGTGTGACGTGTGCGTGTGACGTATGTGTGACATGTGTGATGTGTGTGTGTGACGTGTTGTGTCAGTATGAAACAACTTGCAAGCAGTTTTGTGTTTGCTGTTTTATAGTAAAAAGAGAGTTTCGCGCGAAAATTTAATACATGCATGAACTTGCAAGCATTCAAATTATTCACTAATAGTTCGTTTTAGAAATACAAATTTAACGAATCATATGTACCATACATACAAACGCTGGAAAACACATGAAACCAGCACGCACACTAACTCAACACACACACACGAACGCACGCACACGTCGCATAAAATGTAACGCGCAACGACTCAGACGCGCAGAAAAAAAAACTCGCGTTGAAAACCCGGCAGACAAATAAACACATATTGGACGCCGACATGATCATCATTCATCTAGCTCGTGATTGGTTGGCGGATTGTATGACGTCACATAGGGGTCACGCGAAAGTCATCACGTGATTGAGGCCCCGGCATAACCTATGACCTTTGGTGAAAAAATAAAAAAGTGTAGATGGCGGTCGTAAATTAATATGTTGTTTGTTCATTTGTCTACTGAGCAGTTCTCAAGTTCATTCACTGACTTGCAGGTCTTTGAGAAGATGTGATGATGAAGAAGAAGATGATGATGTTTTCGATGATAATGTTGTTGCCGTTAACGGTGATGATGATAGTAATGATGACGACGACGATGATGGTGGTGATAATGATGACAATGATGATTATGATGATGATGATGACGAGGACGACAATGATGATCTTGATGATGATTGAAATAATGATGATGAGAGCAGTGATGATGACGAAAAAGATTATAACGTTGGAGATGATGGTTGTGATGAAGAATAAAAAAGCTACTACAGTGATAACGATGATAATGATGATAAAATTCGTACTGACGATGATGATGAATGTATTTAATTAACGATTGCAAGATTAAAAGCGATGACGACAAAGATGATGCTAATGATTATGATAGAAATTCTAAAATTTTTTTCCAGATAAAATTAATGAATGGACATTGAAAAACCATAATCTTATGACTTGTGTGTGTGTGTGTGTGTGTGTGTGTGTGTGTGTGTGTCTGTGTGTGTGTGTGTGTAATTGATACAAATATGGTCGTTTAAAAAAACCATGTATATTTAATGATGGAATGGCAGATATGATGTCACAATGTAATCAGTTGAGATGAAGCTAATAACGACGTTGATGATTAAGATAATGACATCAAAATAAAAAAAGGTTAATGATGATATTTTAATGACAAGATTTTGTATGGGATTGTGTTAGTTTGATGTGTTGGTGGGTAAGAGATGATGATGACGAAAGAATGTTGGTGCCAATGATGACGGTAACATCAAATTTTTTTTTTTAATGTTTAAAAAAATCTTTTTGCATCGCCACAAACATGAAGCATGATAAAACTATTTATTATTAATAAGGTATTAATCATTTAAATTCTATTTTAAAAATAACACAACCAGCCAACACCGACCCAACAACTCTACATGACTCCGGAATAAATTTCAAATCCATCCAAATGACTTCATCCTCCTTCGTTTAATTTAATTTTACATTTATTTCCCCAATTTTACGAGAGCTTGTGTAAAATATTTTTTCTGATAAATTTATTTATTATTCTTAAACTTTTATTGTTTGCTATAGTTTTGTTGCATATTTTATTAATTTTATTTATTTATTTTTTTTCATTTATGTTGTTTTCCATCGGAGCCAACATACGCTCCCCTGAGGTAGTCTTAACACGACGCCAAACTAAGGAAGGCGATTCTTTGAGGTTTTGTATGAGGTTGTGTTTGTATGTGTTTGTTGGTGTGAATGTTTGTATGTGTTTGTTGGTGTGGGTGTTTGTATGTGTTTGTTGGTGTGGGTGTTTGTATGTGAGAGTCTGTACGTGTTTGTGTGGGTTTGTTCGTGATTGTATGCGTTTGTGGGTGTGAGTTTTTGATCGTGAGTGTCTGTATGTGTTTGTGCGTTACTGTACGTGATCGTATGTGTTTGTGGGTGTGAATGTTTGTATGTGAGTGTTTGTATTTGTTTGCACGTGTTTGTTTGTGATTGTATGTGTTTGTTTGTTATTGTATGTGTTTTTAATTGTTTGTTCATGTTTATGTACACGTGTTTCAATCTGTTAGGACGTGTTACACATGTACAACATATTTTGTTTACTTATAATAATATTTGTGAATAAATTTACGTAACGCGCAACCAGCATGTCGTGCAAGAATCATTGGAAAATTTTACAAGGACATAATCCGATTTATGTGTACAAATCTGTAAATGAATGACAAAAATTATGAAAAAGAATTTTTGCATCTGTGTTTATTTACGTGTGTGAAAAACATTTGTTGGATGGGAAATTTACTGTGTGTAGGTGCATGTATGCATGATGTTATTGATGTCAACGTGCGTGAAGTCAGGCTCAGATGCCGACTTTTACTTTAAAATGTTATTCATTGGTTTGTTTCGTTATGCGTGTGTATTTGATAAATTTTTTTCTGCAGACACTTCGGTAAGTTAATTGGGTGTGTGTGTGTGTTTGCGTGTGTGTGTTTTCATGTGTGTGTGTTTGCGTGTGTGTGTGTTTGCGTGTGTTTGCGTGTGTGTGTGTTTGCGTGTGTGTGTTTGGTGCAAGTATGTTTACGAGAATGCGTGTGTCTTGTGAAACTATGTTCACGTGGGTATGCGTGTTTTGTGGGATTTTGTTTATGGAGGTGTGTTTCATGTACGGACAGTTATCTTTGCAGTGCTGTTTGAGCTATGGTGGTCT